AATTACACAAACCATGGCAGGGCCCGGGCAAAGTGGTGGAGGTGAGGAGTCCGCAGTGCGTGCAGATTCAGTGTGGTCACCGCCACTGGTTTGTGTACCCATCGTGGCCATTAGTCTTTCATCTCCACTTCCCGAGGGCCGGGTGTTTGGTCAGTCCGATGAGCTGGGGCGCGCGTCGGCTGATGTCCTTCCTCAGGACAGTTATATTGTTATATACACAGGGTACAAGCGTCTAACGCACCCAACATTACCGGTAGTGCCGGCCCGGGGTGGACGGGGGAGTCTGGAGCCGCCATCGCCCGACCCCTCACTGCTTGGCGGTTCTTCGCCTCGGGATATCCTGTGCTCATCGAGTCATCTTCCGGCTGTTCCCGGAACCTCCAGGGGGCTCGCACCCTCCTCGCTTGACGGCCCGGCATCAAGGACTTGGGCAAAGACTGCTGGATTTAAATGACCATCCTCCGGCGTCAAAGTGCACCTACACCCGTGGTTCGCGGGCGCCGCTCAAGCCAGATGGGTCAATGGCTGACCCGGCCCATCTTGTGCTCGTGTGCGGTGTTACATATGCGGGGTGTAGTTGTGGACTGTCCGGGGGGTGGGTCGGCCATTGTAGATAGTTGCAACTTATTATTTTTTCTTCTCCCTTCCCTCCCACTTTTCTTCTCCCTGGTCCTGTATATAGTGTAAATATCGTTTTGTTCCTCGTTCGGGATAATTTATTGTTGTTATGTTGCGTTAAAAGTTGGAGGCCCACACGTTGCGTGGGTTATATGTTGGTCAGCCAAGACGGCTGAGTTTCATAAAGGGGGGGGGGGGTGATGTAGAGATGTAAATAGCGTCTCTACAACGTATAAGCCGACTACAACCACAACTGGTAAATAAGTGTGCACGTACCTCTCGATGGGGCCGACGGAGACGTGGCGGGGAAGCAGACCCTACAGAGCAGAGTCCCGTCCCAGAGAGAGAGAGAGAGAGGGGACGTGCTGACACGGAGTAGTGAAGGGGGCCCGGAAACAGGGGCCCGGAGGACACGTGACGCTGGCTCCGGTTCCGTCGCGAGAGACCGAGGAAGGGGCGTGGCCGGAGGCGGAGAGAGGCCACGCTCGAGAGGATAAGAGGGACGGAGGCGGAGCGATCGTGGTTGTCTGGCTGGAAGAGCTTACCGTGCGGCGTTGCTGCGGGGGTCTTGGAGCGTCGGTCATCGAGGACTCGGTTTACATAGAGACCCCTTTGGGGGTCTAGAATAACCCCGAGTATTGTTAGCCCATAGCCCTGTTCAGTTGCTAATACATCGTGGTGCCTCCAGACTTCTGTGTGTGCCTCGTGAGATACACACTACAGATCTAACCCAAAAAAACCCCTCTATTATGGATATTGGTCGCGAAAGCATACTGGTTACACGGTGTACTGTATATACGATATATTTATTTTTACGAGTAGATAGCTCGTTGCTCTGCAACAGAAAATAAGAGACGGCTGTAATTTTCATCTTCTTCTCACAATCCTGTACCCGGGTGATCTGCCTTTTAACGTAATAAAATGCCAAGACAATATGTATTGTGAGTGTTTTTTCCTCGGACTTTCAAGAATATTCAGGCGAGAGAATTATATTAATAGGAGCACACATTGAAAAGTTAGAGTAATTTTAAGTGAACCACGTCAGTCTGTATTCGTTGCTCCTACCTCTTCGGTGTAACTCGATCATGTCTTCCGAGCTTCTTCCGCTGTTTCAATTCAATGTCATATATTTTTTACACGGGAAATCCTTTTATAGTCAGTTACCCAGCTAGTTTATGTGGCAACGTCCCACAGCAGCCACGAACAATGGAGCCTTTGTTGGGGTGGAGAGGAGCCCAGCTAGCAGCCAGCTAGGGAACTCGAGGCAGAAATTAATTTTATACGAGTATGATGTACTGCAGTGCAAAGCAGAGCTGTATTTTTGACACTCATCATTAATGCAGCATAAGCACTACAATATGGAATAATGCATAGTGTACATTTGTATCATTTTGATTTAAAGCTTTCGTGACCGCAGGGATTCATATTCTTGGTTCTTTCGGTAAAGTCACGTAGAAGGGAAGCAATAAAATAAAATATATATATAAAAAATAAAATTCTCACGAAAAGTCGTGAGAATTTTATTGTTTTATAGTTTTATTTTTTTATTATTTTATTTGTTTCCCTTCTACGTGACTTTACTGAAAGAACCAAGAATATGTTTTTATCATTGTTAATACGTTTATGCATTAATTCAGTATTAATAGATTTACACGTTTGTGTATCATATTCAGCATATAATAGGGACTGTATACAATACAGTACATCAATTACTCATTACAATTGAAAGAGCACACGACTGCATATCATCGTGTAGCGTTTAATTGTTTTGTTGTTGTTGGGACAATTAGAGGTTAGGGACAATTTGGAGCATTTAGGGGACAATTGGGGGACGATTAAATGCCACGTGCACCAACCACGTTGTGGCTGTCACACCAATCGACGGGGTCACAGGTGACAAGTGACCAATTGCCAGGATCGATGTGCACAGCCATGCAAATTGAACGGGGTCCGTCGAATGCATATATCCATGCGTACATATTGACAAGACAAGACGGGCATTAGTGAACCTTATGGTGGGACCCCAGGGTCCCGAATAAACGGAAGTCAAAATCGTAATGGATTAATTTATTTTGGCGACTCCGTCCGACCGCACACTTAAACGCCATGACCCACCTGGCGTGGATCATTCTGTTGTGTCACGTCGTGTGAACAGGCGAATGCTCTCCATGCTCGGGTATGGGCATGATCATAATAAGTCTTATCCAAAGTTGCTCAAACTGCCTACACGACTTAAGTCCTGTATTTGTCATAACGGTATTCATTATACAGTGAAACTTCTCTCTTATCTTCATTATTATTTGTGACCTACCAATATCTGCAGCCAGGATCAATTGATGACAATCCTATTACCTGCAGATATTTATCAGATGAGATGGGTTGCAACGTGAATTCCTCCTTTGCCAGTAGCAAGATATAGTAATAGGTTTTGACCCTTTTATCTAGCACCATAACTGACACCTTTATACAAGGGATCATGTTTGCAATAACCACAACACAAGCAGTCAGTTTTGGTGCCAGATAAAAGGGTAAAAATCTATTACTATATCTTGCTACTGGCAAAGGTCTCATAATGTAAATGCTTACCCCGAGCTCTCAATACTTTGAAAGTGCGCTGTTGTTGAGTTGTACGCCTTTTGGCGTCATCTGGTCCAACACCAGTGGAGACTAGGCTCTAAGAAAAGCCGTCTAGGGTGTGGACCAATCAATTTCAAGGAGAGTGCCAATATCATTATCAGAGTTTAACACGTAGGCTTTCGCGACCAATATTATTCATAATAAAGGTTTTTGGGTTAGATCGCGTTTATTTATAAATGTGTCGTAACCCTCCACCACCCGACACGGCCAATCAGCAAAAAAAGTGTCACGTTGACAAAAGACAAATAATTCACTACTTCAGCCCACCGGTGTGTTGAAGAGTTAATCCACATTTACAGTTTGAGTACGACGTTTCGCTGGTAAATACTTCCAGCATCATCGGGCAATTCGCTCGGGCAATTCGCCCGATGATGCTGGAAGTATTTACCAGCGAAACGTCGTACTCAAACTGTAAATGTGGATTAACTCTTCAACACACCGGTGGGCTGAAGTAGTGAATTATTTGTCTTTTGTCAACGTGACACTTTTTTTGCTGATTGGCCGTGTCGGGTGGTGGAGGGTTACGACACATTTATAAATAAACGCGATCTAACCCAAAAACCTTTATTATGAATCATTATCAGAGTTGTCTCTTTTTGTTTGCATTTTGGCTGCTTGTGTTGTGGTTATTGCAAACATGATCCCTTGTATAAAGGTGTTAGTTTTGGTGCCAGATAAAAGGGTAAAAACCTATTACTAATACTTATATTGTCCGTATGCATCTGTGCAGATAGGGTTTTTTTTGCGGTTAAGCCATAGTCCCCACATAATGCTCGTATCAATGCGGATAAGAGGAGCGGCGACCCATTACTATGTAGAGTAACATTGGTCTAAACGCTTGTTACAATATGAACAGCGCATTGAAAACGCGTACTATTTTATGTACTATTTACAAAGTGTGTTCACAAATCCACACTGAGAAACACGATGATTGACAGGGGGGTGTAAATATCTTTTTCGATAGTGTATTTAAATAGAGGTACTGCAGGTACCAGTTTTAAAGGCATAGTTTAACAAGACAACACTTGCCACCATCCTTCAAACCCATTGGTGAGAAAGAGCTAAGTTTTTATTTACATTATTTACTACTATAATGAGCCAAGAATGTGTGTGTCCCGTGCGTGACGTCACTCCACGTCGACCAGCCCCCCTCAATAATCATGAACAGGTTACGTCCTCCACATGGACCCGCCCCTCATTAATAATCACGATCGGGTGACGTTACTCCGTATGGAGACCCCCCCCCCCCCCCAAATGAATAATCATGAGCAGATGACGTCACTCCACATTGAACAGCCCCTCCATTAATAATCATTATAAGGTGACGTCCTCCAAATGTACACTCCCTTCATGAATAATAATTAGCGGCTGACGTCACTCCACATGGGGGGGGGGGGCGAGGCTTATAACCCTCACTGCAAAGGCAGAACCTCACGGCACGCGATCTCGGTCACGCTCTTGAGACATCAAAGTAAAAAGGACGTCTTGATGAACAAGGGATTATGTAACCTTAAAATGAAATAGCTCTGTGTCACCGCGCCCTTACAAATCGCACACGAATGGATGCAATGAACATATCACGTCCCGGTATGATTTTCGCTTGCGAGTTTCATATTTACCGCAATACGCCCGTCCTTGGACGGGCAAACAAGCTCGCAATATAATGTTTATGCGAGAGCCGGGGGCGTATGGGACCCCGGGATCCCGCCAGAAGGTTCATTCACTGAATCACCCAGACGGACGAACGCCCTCATCGCCTGCTGGGTGTAAAAGCAGAGATTTATCACCTTCCCCAGTGTGTGTGTGTACGTAATCACGACTATGCCATCATCATTATCCCGTCGCTGGCTTGCAGGGAAAAACCGGTTCGGACAAACAAAGGCTTGGTTACCCGCAGTGGACAGATACCCGCAGTCGGACGCAGAGCTGCCTGACGTCCGTGTCTAGTGTGTGGTGTGACGATTGAACATCATCTGTTTTTTGGGGTTTACTGCAGACGCTTGCTTCGTGGGGGCGATGAGTGACGAGGTTTAACAGAGGGAGTTCACAAAGCCGCATCTATTGCAACATATTGTTCCCCGAAGGGTCTGCAGCAGCACGTAACGTGGCCGTGTGGCTCTGCGACACGGTATGCGTTTATATAGGTGACATCCACACACGTACACACACACACGTGTGTGTGTGTACAGTACTGCACGTGGACACATACAGTAAGACGACGTTCACGCACGGGAACGCGCATTCGGAGACAGCGCAGTGTACAGCAACAACAATGACTGCACGTACACATGCAGAACACACACACACACCGCATCGATTAGTGAATTGCATTAGAGCGATAGATTCGGCAACGTTGTATGTATCTACGGTCGTACGTACATAAATACACGTAGAATCAGTTCAGGTGCAATACAGCGGGCATGACCGTGCGTAACACGGTCATCGAACGAGAGCGACGATCAGCCGTGATGTCATCGAATACACCGAACGAAAGATCATCCGTTCAGCTGCGTAGAGTTATTGGCAAGTACTGTTAACACACGCACGTAAACCTACACATAAAAAAACAACACGCATACTGCGTTCTATACGTACACACGTACCCTTGTATCGATACATACACGCATAAACGCACACGCAATACACAGCCCACACATACCGACCGGCGTCCAGCTCTCTTGCTAAGCGGTGCGCACAATGAATGGAGGTCAGCGTTTAGGCGCATCGGCACTTCTCATGAGCGTGGCCACTCTGAGCCTCATCGTCATCGTCACCACCTCGTCTCCCGGGTCAGCGATCGGCGGCGACGAGGACGACCGCCGCGAAGGGGGAGACGTGGCCTCAACAGGGGCCGGTGGAACGGAAGGGCCTCCGGGCACACGCCAGGGCGCCTTCGCTCCTACGCCGTGCCCGACCACATGGAGTCCTCAAAGTGTCTCCTCGTCGCACCGCAAGGGCTTCGCGGTGGTCTCCCTTCACTGGGACCACGTTCAGGAGCCGTACGTCATCGCTGTGTGGATACTCGTGGCCAGCCTGGCAAAAATTGGTGGGTTTAGAAAAATAAAAGGGATAAAAAAAAGCTGTTGTGTGTCGTTGTAGACGATGTGTGATGATGATGATGAAAGATTTGTTGCGTTGATTTGTGTTCAGCTCATGGGTTTGTATTTCTCTACGAACTGAATTCCCAGTGCATCAAGTAACTTTATTTAACTAGGGCATGTGTGTCGTTTGAGATGTATTTATTCAAAAGGGGGCATTGACAAGGTGACAGCCAAGATATCTCTGCGATCGATTGACGGAAAATTGTAGCGAGGATGAAATATTAAAAGGTTGAATGTAAGGGTATAAAGTAGCAACTAAATGAATGATGTGCTGTACAGTGTATGGTTTATCGGTGCTGTGCCAAGGGTTGTGTTTTATATTCGACATATTAGTGGTTGCTCTATGTATTGCAGAACACTGGCAAGTGGCACAATGATTTCGGCTGATCGTCACTCAAATATAACGTGACCTTCCAAATGCGCAGGGATTGTATGACCTTGATAAAGACAGCGGAATTGGAAGACGACTTTTACTTAAGCAAATTTACGGATACGCAAATACTGTACATTCTCCTCACATGTTAAACAACTTAATTACTCTCCGTACAGTAATTGCACGTTCAAAGATCCTGGTTATTGGCCTGTAACTTTACCATAACGCACGTGTGGATTGGTCATCACTTGACACGATTGTGCAATCATATTATATATTAACCTGCATAGAGGTGGTATCCAATGATTTGCTTGCTTTAATGCCCCACACTCTGCAGTTTCAGCACCACGGACAGCAACACACACACAGTCTCAATGTTGGATTAAACTCCCCTCCAACAGATATATTTTGGAAAACTCAATTCTATCATGGAAAGTGACATAGCAGATATTCCTCAAGAAGGACGTTCTCAATCAATCCATGCATATTACCTGCTGTGACATATATATTGGAAACTTGGGCACTGGCAGAGTGAACACAAGCTAAAAAGTGTCGCAAAATTGGCAGGAAGAGATACATGCTTGATATTACACTGAGAGATAGAAATAGGAATACAGATATCAGGGAAAGGACACGAATCAGAGGCATCGTATTGACGATTACGACCAGTGGAGCTGGGCAGTTGAATGAACGAGCATGCCTGAGAGTATGACTTGCTGTCGAGATCGAGCATTGAAGTCAGCTCGTGTAAGAGCTACGTGGATTATTGTACCGTGATACCATTTGCAGGATGGTAATGGCTTAGGGAGGCCTCCATCCAGCAGTGCAATGAGAGTGGCTTGTTATAGCAATTGCAAGAATGGTCTTCATGTACAATATATGTATGCAATTAACTTTTAAACCACCTTGGCATGCACAGGTTTGTGTCATCTGATACCAGAGCATCTCAGACCAAGTTTAAAATGAAAGCATTTAAGATCGCAACAAATGCATGTATGCAATTGGCTGACGAACAGCAATCTACACATGTGTCATTTACAAAGGCAGAATAGCTGGTCGTAATTTAAACATGTTAGTGCCCAAGGATAAAAATGGTAGTAATAAACAATGGCATGGCTAATTAGTTGAATCCAGTTTGAAAGCACGTGTATTAATAAAACATATGCCGTTGTGGCCACGTTATAATAAAATATTAAACATGCTATTTGTGTCTCCGAGGAAGGCAAGGTTGGGGACGTTACAGGAAATCCAGTCTCCCATGGCACTTAATTTAGTTGTTATGGTGACTGCTGAGATCGTGTGTGTGGCATCATACTGGGGTTTTGTATTTGAAACCTGAAATCTAAAACGAAAAACTCACTACATGCTGTAACTGAAATGCAGAGTGCATCTGAACTAGCTTATCAGTGGCATTGTTTGTGCCTTTGTTGTTTTTCTTTTTACCAACTTGCATCACTCGATTACCATAATTAACAATGCGACGATATCCACCTGCTTTTTTGGCAGATGAAGGCCGACTGAGATACAGTACAGTATTACTTTTGCATGGTGGATTTGGATAACCGTACAGAGAAGTGGTAACACCATTGTTGCCTCATTTAACATTCTATATTTGGGCAATGACATTTCCATTTCATTGCCCAATCTTGCAAAGCAATAATTCAATTAATGACGTTTGCGTTCAATCATCGGAGTGCCGCTGACGACGAAAGTATATTGGTAATGGGAATTTCGCAAGCTCTTCGCTCAAGATGTTGCAGCATACAGCACGTCATGGTTAGGTAACACCACACAAAAGGCAAGACGCATATACCTATTTTTGTTGCGTGTGGGTTGGAAATGCCACTGGTCATCGTAAGCAATTCATATGCCAGCGCTAACAAGTTCTACAAATTCTCACAAGCAATGCCCTTGAACTTGCCAATGCTGTGGTTACAGCTTCAAGGCACATTCGTTTGTCCTTTTCCAATCGGGGTGTTTTGGTCATCGTAGTTCAAATTGCTATCTCTGAAAACTTAACAATAAATTGGCTATGCTATCGTGAAATATTTTGCTGTAGAGAAAGAGACAACACGTTATTGTGCAAAGGCTTGTCTAAATTGGTTTGATAATGTGATAGCTTGTACCTGGATTTTTGTTTTGGCTCAGTCGGAAAGAACATGGTTGTCTTACATTGAGACCTACTCATCATAATGAAAGTTGTAAGCTTGCTATCTCTGAAAACTTAACAATAAATTGGCTATGCTATCGTGAAATATTTTGCTGTAGAGAAAGAGACAACACGTTATTGTGCAAAGGCTTGTCTAAATTGGTTTGTTAATGTGATAGCTTGTACCTGGATTTTATGTTTTGGCTCAGTCGGAAAGAGCCTGGTTGTCTTACATTGAGACCTACTCATCATAATGAAAGTTGTAAGCTTAAGTCAGAACACTCAATTTGAAGGATTTCTGAGTGCACTTTCTAAAGGTGTTTACACTTATGCTAATTACAATATCGAGTGTATGTGTGTGACAGAAATATATAATTAAGTCGTGCAGCAAATGCTCTGTGGTTTTAAAATATATGAACGGAACTTTTTAGATTATAAGTACAATCAGTATAATCATCAGTGGCCATGACCAATCAACTGATGGATGAAGGCCTCCCAAAGCCATTGCCATATCTCACGATTCTGCAATGTAAGTAAGTAAAGCTCAGTTTTATATAGCACCATTCACACAAGAGCTCACATCACTTTACAACAGAATCCCAGTAAAACAAAAACCCTTAACATTAAAACGAATAGGCAACCCTACACAGACGGATACGTGTGAGATAATAAATGTGCTTTCGGACGAGGCCCTGAAAACCTCGACTAATGGAGCGCCCCTAACGGTCTGGGGGCAAGGAATTCCACGAACGAGGCGCCTGACTACTGAAAGCTCTGTCTCCCATTCAATGGAATCACCCAACATCCGCACACGAGCTGATTCTATTGCTCCATTCCCTGGGCCGTCACTCCATCATTAAGTCTCGACTATCAACCATCAACTACCAACCGACTACCAACCGTCATCCCTCGCTGTGACGTGCACAGCCCAAGCCCATTTACCCCTCTTGATGGTCAAACGCATGTGTTCTGTAATCCATGCGGTATTCTTACTGTCTCTCAATGTAATTGCACATATGCATCTCTTCGTGCTACTTGGCACACTTTTTCGTTTTGATTCAACGTTCTTTGTTGATGACGTTATTTCTGATAATAAGCTTTCCATATACATGGTGCTTAAATGCCTCAGTAACTCAAACAGTGCATTATATAACATGTCATTCTTGATTTGAAGCTTTCATGACTGCAGGAATCCATACTCTTTGGTTCTTTCGGTAAAGTCACGTAGGTAGAAAAATAATAGATCACGACGTTTTGACCGCAACACAAGCAATCGTCATCAGGTGGGACAACCACAGCAAGAAAAAACTGCTGAAGTAGGCGAGAGATCTGCCATGGCGCTGCGTTGCACGACTATCCGAGTAGCTAACCTCGCATTCAATAAACTTTCAGAGCCAGGGTGAACATCCGACGTCCTGGTACGTGGTCTGCGACGCATAGACATAGTCTACAGCTAGCTGTATAAACGAGCGTGTTGGCCACTTCCGACACCAGTTGTAGTGAGGCCAACTGAGTCGCAGACGTTCTTTTAGAGGCAACATATTTATTCGTAATATCAACACGTAACACAAAGGGGTCACTGCCCCTTTACCAGATACAGCCTAGGGTGGTGGCCACCCAGCTAACTACCCTATACGGAGGAGTTACAGCTACGGAGGGTCTGACCCTCACTCGGGTCCCGGTCACGTGTTGATGCCTGTAGAGCTTCCAGCTTGTAGACGTAGAGCTTCCAGCTTGTAGAGTGCAGCAACCCCGGTCCCTCTCAGGGACCCACCTTATATCCCCCTCGGGTTGGGGCCGCTCCGCCCTTGGCCCCGCCCGCTTTCTCGAGCGTTCTAGCTCCCTCTCGATCCCTCTCGAGAGCTCTCCCCGGACAAGTGATCACCCCCTAGCCCTCCCGCCTAGGGGCCTCTCTGACGGACACTCTGGATCACATGTCTACGGGGTCAACCAGAGTGCCATGGCCCGGGTCAACCCTGCCCCTGGGCTGACACTCCACCACTCCCCCTGGTGGGAGGCCGCACCACACGCCGTGTGTGCTGCCCGCGCTATCCCAGCGCTCACCAAGCCCCGCTAGGGCTGGTACTACACCCGCCCACGGGGTGTACGCGATGGCGGTGCATCGCACGCCACGGCCCTCTCAGGCCGGCACCATACAGTGACATCCCCGATGTCACTACAAAAGAACGAGGTAAAACTGATGGAAAAACACAGCACAAAATACAGCATTTGTTAATACTTGCAATATCATTACAATGAATGAACCCTGCAGCATCATAACATCGTCTTAGATAACATGAATCTCAATAATAGGTCCTCGATGGACCAGGCACCAACATTAGCAATGAATAGCTATACAACAAGAGAATAAGCTACTGTCTTAAATAAGGTCACTTTGTGTAATCACCATACTGCTGCCCAAA